TCACTTTCATCACAAATAGAAGTCGTCAACGAAATGACAGTGCTGGCCACCGAAGCATCCAGAGCCCAGGCTCTGAACACGCCAAGATCACATGTAGGAAGACTCAACGAGTCAAAGGCTTCAGCGTTGAACCAGGATGAAAAACGAAAGATCTCCCCCGCACTGTCGTTGTTCTCTGGCGGTGTCGCTGGAGGTGTCGAAGCCACCATTACTGTATGACGTCCCCTGACTTCTCCAAGACCCAAGACTTCCATGACAAGACAAGGAGAAATGCTGACGAACATGCTTTCAAGTATCCTTTCGAATTCGCAAAAACTAGGGCGCAGTTGCAACCAACCCATTCGAGAAATCCCATGGCCGTCATTTCGCAGGTCATCCGACAAGACGGAATACGAGGCGTTTACACGGGCTGTTCAACTTTGATTCTAGTATGTGATATAGCGTGCCTGGCGACCTCTCAGTTCCAACTACGCTAACGCGCGTCGACTCAGGGAACAACATTCAAGGCTGGCGTCAGGTTTCTCTCGTTCGACTCCATCCGGAACCTGTTGATGGATGACAGAGGGAGGTTATCGCCAGCTCGGGGCATTCTTGCTGGAATGATCGCCGGTGCAGTTGAGAGCATAGTGGCTGTGACACCAACAGAGCGTGTCAAAACAGCCTTGTATGGACAAAATGATACTCACTCAGGGTTCATCATCTGACATGTGTTACACAGGATTGACGACGCCAAATCCGGGTTGCGCAAATACCGCGGCGGTGCTCATGCCTTGAGACTGATCATGAGCGAGCGCGGCATTAGCGAAGTATACAGAGGCTTAGCATCAACAACATTGAAACAGTCGGCGACATCTGCCGTACGCATGGGCTCCTATAATGTCATCAGAGAGGTTTCAAACCAGTACGACCTGCCGCAGAATAGTATCACGACCTTCGCTTCTGGAGCTTTAGCCGGCATCATTACAGTATATGCCACTCAACCTTTTGACTCTGTCAAAACAAAGGCGCAGTCTGCAAAAGGAGCCAGTACTTCTGAAGCGTTCAAAAGCATTGTGCATGAACGAGGAATTCGGGGCCTGTGGAGTGGCAGTACGATGCGACTTGGACGGCTAGTGCTGAGCGGCGGCATTGTTTTCACGGTGTATGAGAAGGTATCAGGACTGTTTAGCGAGAGACCATAGATAGGATACGTCTGGTGACAGTGAAAAAAGCAACCGCTTCCCAGGTTTTCTCAAGTATCTATGGTCAGAACCTCGTGACAACAGCCCTATCGTAACCCCAATAAGATATTCTAAATTTCTGACGAGATGATAAATATTTCGACCAAAATATTCAATTGGTTGGAGCCACGATATGCCCAAGTACGCAGTTGCTGGGTTTCTGAGGGTCGGGAAACTTGGAACCCAGTATCTGTCTACGCCATCATGTCTTTGGAACCTCTTCCGCAAGATCAATAACAAAACAAGATGTTTTCGGACGGAATTGCGTATCAATGAGGTATCCGGCTAGCAGCCGGGACCTCCTCAGTTTGACACTGGCTTTGGGTGAAGAAACGGGTGGGATCTGTGTTCCCTTCCCGCGGGAGGCACGGTAATGCGGAAGCGCATCAACCCCGCACCAACCTCTGACATGGAACTCTCCTAGACAGCGCCAGTCCGACTCATGGCCCAATACTAGGCCCAAAATATTCCTTGGCCGGGCTTGAGGGCATGTGGTGACTCGTCCGGGGCCCCGCACTACCCCGGAGCCAGGTCGCTCATCGGCGCGACTGGCGGCCGACTAGCCCTCAACTTCTACCCGTGCGCCTTTGCCGTCGCAACTTCGAGGCATGATGGAAGGCGTGGGAAACTCAGCTCCTTTCACAAACAATAATGTATAAAGATCAGTCGTGTCGCTCGCTAGAGAGGTCTTGATATACCTGGGCAAACCGGCACTGGCTTTTCATCAAATTATCGCACACAACCGAGCTACCAGTGCAGCAATTTGACTCGACATGGCGAAGCAAATTCCAATGACTGACTCCACGGTCAAGGATACTACCATGGCCGCTAAGAATACAGGCAAAGAAGGCCAGGTCGATGTTCAACTCGAGGACAAGGCCGACGCCCGCGAGGAGCACGTCTCGCCTCGCGATATTCAGGGGCAATTCGACCTTCTGCGCGACCTCAGCGATGCTGAAATGGAAAAGTTGAACAGATCAGTTGTCAAGAAGATCGATTGGCGTATGATGCCCTGCATCACTATTATGTTTCTCATGAAGTATGAAATCCTTGCTTTCTCCTTGATGCATCTTGACGAAACACTGACACAAGAAGCTACCTTGACCGGATTAACGTCTCCAACGCCAGGCTGGGGGGCTTACAGGAAGACCTCCACATGACGGATACGGTATGGAATACGGGAATCTCAACTTTCTATATTGGCTATCTTGTTGGCCAACTTCCTGGCAACCTATGGCTAGCCAAGGCGAACCCTCGATGGTTCCTCCCGTCAGTCATGATGGCGTGGAGCGCCGCGACCATCTGCATGCCTGCCATGAAGAGGTATGCGTTGATCGAAATGCAAAAGCGAGACTCTAGACTGACCTGGAAATTAGCGGCGCTGGCTTCGCTGTCTGTCGCTTTTTTATTGGCCTTGCTGAGGCACCCTTCTTCCCTGGTATCACCTTGAGTAAGCCCTCCCAAGCTATACCTTTTGATGTCCACTACATGTGCTGAAAATATACACAGTGACATCCTCTTGGTATACAAAGGCGGAGAATCCTATGCGCATGGCCATCTGGCATGCCGGAAATACCATCTCCAACATTCTGTCTGGTTTCCTGGCAGCGGGTATCCTGACAACCATGGACGACATTGGTGGCCTGCATGCCTGGCAATGGTTCTTCATCATCGAAGGTGCTGCATCCATCCTTGTGGCTCTTGCTGCTTTCTATTTGCTGCCCGACTGGCCGCACAACACTCGCTTTTTGTCTCCGGCCGAACGAGAAATGGCCCAATATCGAGTGCTCTGCTCCAATGGCGGAAAGGATGAAGGCATCGGCGGCACTTGGGACGGCATCAAGGAAGCTATCATGGATCCTTTCACGTGGTTCTTTTGCCTGATGCACTTTGCCTTGGTCACTGCTCAAGCTTTCAAGGATTTCCTCCCTTCGGTAAGTCAGAACTTGGACACGGAGCAATACGAGACCCAAACTAACAAGTGGGCGCAACAGATCGTCAAAACTTTCGACTTGGGCGAGCTCACGACCTATTTCATTCAAGCGCCTCCTTATGCTTTTGCATATGCGTTTGCATGCGCCTGTGCCTGGTCGTCAGGACGCCGTCAGGAGTCATTTTGGCATATTGTCATTCCCATCATCGGGAGCATGATCGGTTGCGCAGTGCTCATCTCGACGGAGAACATAGGCGCCCGCTACTTCGGCCTCTTCCTTCTCATCTCCGGCACCTACAACGGCCTCAATTTGCAACTGTCTTGGGAGACGACCGTCGTGCCGGCACCGCGAAGCAAGAAGGCTGCCCTGATCGCCATTGCCAACTGCATCAGCCAGTGCAGCCATTGGTTCAGCCCTTACTTCTGGCCCCGTGCCCATGAGCCCTTTTATCGCCTTGGCGGCGGGCTCGTCCTAGTTGGTTGCGTGCTAGTTATCGTCTCAGCCGGACTCGCAAGGTGGCGTGCGCAGAAGCTGAACAAGAAGCTGGACATTGCCGAGGGATGGTCGGAGCATTCGGGCGTGGAGCGGGGCTGGAGATTCGTATACTGATCGTGACGCCAAACCACACCAGATCGTGGGGAACGAGAGAGACAAGAGTGGGACAGTATTTGGGTCTAAAGCTGCGTTTGGAACCAGCCAACAAACGATGAAAACGAATATTGATGATCCAGAATCACTGTGCAGCCGATCCTTCTACAACCAAGCCTTGTCGACCGGGCCCCGTGACACATCTTCGACTCTCATGCAACAAGAAGCCGTCTGGAGGGCATCGCAATCACATACGACCATACCTACTGGAAAACTCGGGATCCCGTCCGCTCTCCCCTTGATAAACCAGTAAGGGCCGAACTAGTAGTTGGGTGGGTGACCACCAGCGAATCCTCGGTGTTGTATGTTTTTGGTGTTTTCTCCTGTGGAGACACCCCTGTTCAGGTACACCGAGTGCAACAGGTACTCTGCCTTGAGTCTCTTGCGTCGAACCAAGTCACCTCGTTAGATGTTGTTCATTTTTCAAATCCTTTTTTGTGGTTAACAGCCTGGATGTAGTAGTGTGGCGGATCTAACTTACCTTCGGAGAAGAAGATCTCTTCTCGAGCCCACATGTGCAACTTCTCCTTGCGAAAATGCTCAAAATCCCACTCACCCCTCTCAATACGATTAGGATGAATGAATATGTAGGTGGTTGTTTCCTGCTCCTCACCCTCGACCTGACCTTCACCCTGCGCGTTGCCCAATTTGGTGACAAGCTTTACCTTGACTGCTCGCCTATCGTACTCGCTGCCTTCAAAGCTGTCGAGTTTTTGTATGTTCGCGTCTGTCAAACCCGTGACATAGCTGCCCAGGACGGACCGGCCTTCTTCCGGAATCACGCCTGGATAGTCTTCGCCCTGGACACGATGACGGCAATGATCATGTAACACTGCAGGAGTGAAGGTGTACAGGCTCTTGATGACATCAGAGGGGTGTGACGTTCCCTGAACAACTCTGAAGAAGACACGCGGCTCCATCTGCCAGGAACAAAGTCAGTGTTCATGATCATGCCATGAAAGGATAGACTATTGTTACCAGAGTGCCTGGGCGCAATGTTAGCGCAATGGCCATCTTCCTTTGGTCTCTGTGGCAAGAACAATAGAGACTCACCATAGAAAAATGCGGTATGCGGTCCACTCATGGTGTTTTTACTCGCTGGGCGAAGAGCAAGATCACGTATAACAGTCGGAGCGATGCCAGGAGGTCATCAACGAGCTAAAAAGACCTCGATATCGCGATTGGCTGTGACTCAAGGGAGAAGAATTGGAAACCGGGAGGTGAAGCACACGAGATCAGACGTTCCATAAAGGATGACTTCTGAGGTGAGGGGTGAGTACTATATCGAGCAGGGTCATAGGATATGGACACGACTACTATCTAGTAGTCAGCCTGGGTAAGGTGTCGAGTCACAGCGGGTTTGGGTGCGGACTGGAGACTCCAGGGGCCGATAACGGGGAAGCTCCACCATTTCACGATCTACAGACTTTGGAGATAGAGCGTCGATAAGATTAGATCTCTCTATCCAGTCAAAAAGACTTAAAATACACACTAGTAGCAGCCTGCATGTCTAGCGTCGGAGTAAAGTTATTACATGCCCTAGCGTCAAATGATTTGGCGGCCGGCGCCCCCAGCTCTGTTCGTCGCGTCGTTCGTCGTGGAAATTTCACACCAAAGGCTGGCTTCTGAAGGTTTCCCATAATCCAAACACCCACACCCACCAGCGTTCAGCAGCCGTGCCTGAATCGACCCGAACCCCACCACGACATATCACCGAAGGCATATTGTGGATGACGGATCACAACGGCATGGTCTCCTGATTCTTCTTCTTCTTCGTCTTTCCTTCAGCAACTTTCCTTTTCCGTCGCCAAAGATACCCCTCCTATCACGCGAAGCAAGGCAACCGGCGCAGCCTTGCGACGAACCGTTCCTCGACACCGAGCACCCCATGCCCTCATGATACACAACACACGAACCTGTCTCGACAACCTCCCACAATGTCGGGCACAACGATTGACGATGTCGTGAAGCGATTGAGCACTCCGGAAACGGGTATGCCTCCCTTTCGACAGCATCACGAGATTGTGCCTACCTATTGCTACAGAGCGGCTAATGGACGCGAATACAGAGACGAAGATCAAGGTTGAAGCTGCTACAACGCTTCGCGACAGTCTAGACCACTACACGGCCGGTCCTATCTATGCGCCGTTTCTCAAGAAGCTAATGCCCATCTTCATCAACATTCTCAAAGGACCATGCATCTTCCAAAGCAACTCTCCAGAGCAGGTAGGACAATGTAGCTGTTCCCGTCACCAGAAGTGCAGACAGTAACACTTTCAGAAACTCCGAAACTGTATACTGGAGGTTCTCCACCGTCTACCAACACATCCCTCTCCAACCGAGCCTTTCGAGCCCTTCGCCGAAGAGATCGTCGACCTTTTGATGCATCTCGTACGAACAGATAACGAGGAGAACGCGACATTGTGCGTCAAAATCATATCGGATATCATGCGCCACCAACACAAGGTGCTGGCTCAGAAAGTTCAGCCATTCCTGACCCTCATTCAAGAGCTGTTTGAGCAGATGGAGAAGGTCGTGCGGGAGCAGCTGACCAATTACGTCCAATGCCGCACAAACACAGGCTGCGCCCCCTCAACACCTGGCTCTTCCAGACCAACTTCCAGTCTCTCGGCCAGGCTCACCAGTAGCATCCGTGACTGACCTTGGTCCCGATCCCCCAGCAGCAGAATCGACTGCTCCTGAAGGGCATGTCCTCGTTCAAGGTGTTATCAGAATGCCCGATCATTGTGGTTTCGATCTTCCAGGTCTACAGAAATACGGTCGGATCCAACGTCAAGCTCTTCGTGCCCCTGATCAAGGGTGTTCTATGCCTGCAAGCTAGCGCCCAACGACAAGCACACGCTGATGCGAAGGCCAAAGGTCAAATATTCACAGGTGTCAGCCCCCTGATCAAGAATAGGGCAGCGTTTGGAGAGTTTATCACTGCTCAGGTCAAGACCATGAGCTTCCTGGCCTACCTTCTGCGGCAATACTCGCAACAACTGCAAGACTTCCTTCCGACCTTGCCGGAAATTGTTGTCAGACTGCTGAAGGACTGTCCACGGGAGAAATCGAGCACGCGCAAGGAGCTTTTGGTGGCCATCCGCCACATCATCAACTTCAACTTCCGCAAAATCTTTCTCTCCAAGATTGACGAGCTTCTTGACGAGAAGACATTGATCGGCGACGGCTTGACAGTATACGAGACGATGAGGCCGCTTGCTTATAGCATGCTGGCTGATCTCATCCATCACGTGCGGGACCAGCTCAGCCCAGAGCAGATTCGGAAGACAGTCGAGGTGTATACCAAGAATCTCCAGGATAATTTCCCCGGCACGAGCTTCCAGACCATGAGCGCCAAGCTCCTCCTCAACATGGCGGAGTGCATCGCGAAGATGCAAGACAAGGTTGACGCTCGACACTATCTTATGATGATTTTGAGTGCCATTGGAGACAAATTCAAGGCCATGAACACGCAGTACCCCAATGCGGTGAAGCTGTCCAAGTTGTACAAGCAACAGGCTGCTGAGGGAACTGCCGACAGCTACCTTGCTGACAAGGAACACCCGCCTGACTGGGATGAGACTGATATCTTCACGGCAATGCCCATCAAGCCCACGAACCCGAGAGACAGAGGTCTGGATCCTGTCGCCGACAATAAGTTCTTGTTTAAGAACCTCATGAACGGTCTGAAGAACACTTTTTACCAGCTTCGCACATGCAATGCCGGCACCAACGTGAACCTTCAGAATGCCCCGGCGCAATGGCAAGAGGTGGCTTATGGTTTCACGGCGGAAGAGGTCAAGGTTATTGTCAAACTCTTCAGGGAAGGTGCCTATGTCTTCCGCTACTACGAAATTGAGAAGCCTGCTAGTGAATCTCAGTACATGTCTCCCGTGGAGTACATGGCCAACTTCTACATGGTCTCGAGCAGTAAGGAGGAGAAAGACCTGTTGGAAACATTCGCTACAGTGTTTCACTGTATCGATCCTGCGACATTTCATGAAGTCTTTCAGCAGGAGATCCCTCATCTGTACGACATGATCTTCGAGCACACTGCCCTGCTGCACATACCGCAGTTCTTCCTTGCCAGCGAAGCTACGTCGCCCAGCTTCTGTGGCATGCTGCTGCGATTCCTGATGGACAGGATTGATCAGGTTGGGTCGGCAGACGTGAAGCGATCGTCCATCCTGCTCCGGCTTTTCAAACTAGCCTTTATGGCAGTCACTCTCTTCGCCAACCAGAACGAGCAGGTCTTGCTTCCGCATGTGGTGGACATTGTGACAAAGTCTATCGATTTGTCTACCCGGGCAGAGGAGCCTATGAACTACTTCCTGCTCCTGCGCTCCCTTTTCCGAAGCATTGGCGGAGGCAAGTTTGAGCATCTCTATAAGCAGATTCTCCCACTCCTCGAGATGCTCTTGGACGTACTCAACACATTGCTCATGGCTGCGCGCAAGCAAACCGAGCGCGATCTCTACGTTGAGCTGTGCTTGACCGTTCCTGCTCGATTGAGCAACCTTCTGCCACATCTCAGCTTCCTCATGCGACCATTGGTCGTTGCATTGCGCGCGGGAACTGACTTGGTAGGTCAAGGACTCCGAACCTTGGAGCTGTGCGTCGACAACCTAACGGCCGACTACCTGGACCCCATTATGGCACCAGTCATTGATGAGCTCATGACGGCATTGTTCGACCACCTTCGTCCGCATCCCTATAGCCACTTTCATGCGCACACGACAATGCGTATTTTAGGAAAGCTCGGTGGCCGAAATCGAAAGTATATTACCGGTCCTCAGCCGCTGAGCTTCGAGGACTTCGCCGACGATGCGACTAGCTTTGATCTGAGGCTTGTGGGCTCAAAGAAAGACAGAGCTTTTCCAGCGGAGTTGGGCGTTGATTTGTCCATCCGCAAGCTGATGGAAGTGCCCAAACCCAGCAAAGCCAATCAATCCCGTCACTTCGATGGCTACTACAAGAAGCAGTCCTTCCACTTCATCAAGTCCCAATTGAAGCTTAGGATAGGTTTTGACAACCTCCCGGATGACCTGCCAAGACTTCTCCGCCTGCAGGCGCAAGACCTTCTGTCCAGAAAAATCGAAGTCGACCTGTCGGCATTCGATGCTTCCGACAGGGATCGTTCTATCGCCAAGAAGGATCAACAGGATGAGCTTGTGAGGCGTCTGCTGAAGGCAGTCATGTTCGCTGAGTCTCTTCCAGAATTTAAGGATGAGGCGGCGTCTTTTCTCATAAATGTTGCAAGGCACTTCACTATTGTCGACATCGGGCGGTCGGTGGTCGATGTCAAGCACACCTACAGCCAATTTAACCCCACTGCTGGCGAGGGCCCCCTATACATCGATACCAGGGTCTTTTCTGACGCCATCGTCGAGTCACTATCGTCCGAACACCCTGATGTGCGAGATTCTGCGCGGAGAGTCATCCGCGAGATCTACATTACGGCATCGACAATCTTTGGCTCAGCACAATCGGCCGCCCGCCTACCGTTCTTCGGCAATCTCAGCACGACATTTTGCCATGCCTGCTACGAAGAAGAATGGTTTACGAAAGCCGGCGGCACCCTCGGCGTCAATTTCCTTCTCACAGAATTGGAGCTGGGCGATCAGTGGGCGATCAGCAAGCAGACAGACTTCATCAGGGCGCTCATGTATGTCGTCAAGGACATGCCCCAGGACTTGCCAGAGAAGACAAGATCATCTGCCCAGCTCACACTTGAGATTCTCCTGAAGAAAGTTACCAAGAACGCCAAGAAGGAAGACGCTTTGCCATCAACTACACCCGGTCAAGCTCCGCAGCGGCACCGACTGGCTCAGATTTGCATGCATTTCAATAACGAGCTTGCGCATATGAATCGTCATGTGCGCGAGACGGCGAAGAGATCACTGGAGCTGATCGCCAAGGCAGCCAGTTGTGAGGTTTGGGAATTGATCGAGCCGTACAAGGAGCGCTTCCTCCAACCGATCTATTCCAAGCCCCTGCGTGCTCTGCCGTTCCCTGTTCAGATCGGGTACATCGATGCGATGACCTACCACATGACACTCCAGCATAGACTGGGTTACCTTCGGTGAAACCTCAATCGTCTGTCAATGGAGTCTCTTGCCTTGGCGGATGCCAGCGACGAGTCACTCCGCGAACAAGCCAGCGGAAGTTCCGTTACTCATGACTATATCGTCAACCTCCGCGTAGCATGCATCAAGATGTTTGAGCACTGCCATGAGCTTTGATGAGTTTGCCAAAGGCACAAACATGGCGGCCACGCGAGCCAAGATTGTCTCCCGTCTTTTTCAAGTCCCTCTATTCCGAGTCGCAGGCCACTATTGATGCCGCCAACGACGCCCTCAAGTCCGTACTACAACAGACCAACAAGCTGCCCAAGGATCTCCTTCAGGGGGGACTGCGGCCTGTTCTCGCCAGCCTTCAAGATCCTAAGAAGCTGACATCCCATGGTCTGGATAATTTGGCTCGTCTCTTGAAGCTTCTTACAACATACTTTAAAGTCGAGATAGGAAGTCGCCTTCTCGACCACGTCAAGATTCTAGCGGATCCGAACGTGTTGCAAGCAATCTCCTTCACCTACTTTGAGCAGCATTCTCAGATGAAGGTTGTCTCTGCGGTTTTCAACATTTTTCACCTCCTCCCTCCCGCTGCTGAGACCTTCAAGGAACGTCTGATCGATCTTGTGCTCGACCTCGAAGAGAAGTTGCGCCGCACTCATGTCAGCCCTTTCCGACCTCCTCTCTACAAGTATCTCAACCGCTACCCGGCAGAAATGTGGGCTTTCTTGATGCCGAAGATAGGCGAAGTCAAATACGGTCGATTCCTGGCTCAGGTTCTCTCCCATCCCGACAGTGGACCCCTTCGAAAGGAAGCCGTGTCCGGCGTGGATAACCTGGTCAAGGCCTGCAACGAGATTGTCACGCAAGACAAGGAGACAAAGTTTGTGGCGATCATCAACACGATCCATGTTCTTGACTCTCTGGGTCAGTGGCCCGCGTGCGACGCTTGGATGGACAAGAAGGAAATCTTGACATGGATGAAGCAAGTGGGCAAAGAGCTCGAGGCACAGCTGCGCAAATACACACTGGCAGCTAACCTCCGAATGCCGGCTGCTCAAGCTTCGGAGCAACTCATGAACATTCTTCTCAAGTCTCTTGAGAGAAATCCGAAGGATTTGGAGTCACTGTTCAGCATCGTCGAAGCGGTCACATCCGAGGATTTCCGAGACCCTCAACCCCTCATCGCTTATGTGTACAAAAACATCATCAACAACGATTCTGTGGAGATTGGCGTCGCGGCAATTTTGAAGTGTTTGGAGGCCTACTCTTCCCGCAATGTTTCTCAGAAGATGAAGTGCTTCTTGCTGCACAACATTGTCAACCCCACCATTGCAATGGATGTTCAGCGGCATTGGAACTCCACACAACAGGGCCAGCCGCGCTTGATAGACCGAGCTGTCATTGATGCTGTAGTGGCAAAGGTCTGGAAGTCAAACCAAGACACCAGCCAACAGGATCACGACGATCTCGCTCAACCCGGCATCGATCACACCAAGTTCGAAGTCCTTCAACTGTCCGCACTGCTCTTGAAGTACCACTACCAGACGATCCAGGAGACCAGGAAGGATATCATCAAGAGCTGCTGGACCTTTATCCGCCTCGATGATGTCATCAATAAGCATGCAGCTTATGTGGTCATTGGGTACTTCATTGCGCTCTACGATACGCCCATCAAGATCGTTACTCAGGTCTATCTTTCGCTGTTGAAGGCCAACCAGAACGAGGGCCGGGCCCTGGTGACACAAGCCTTGGAGCTCGTGGCGCCTGTGCTCCCCAAGCGACTCAACACTCCGCAGAACGACCGAAACGCGGCTTGGGCTATTGCACCGAGAAGAGTGCTGGCCGACGAAGGCCAGAACGCGCAGCAAATGACGAGCATTTTCCATTTCCTCGTTCGACACCCAGAACTGTTCTACGACTCCCGCGACAAGTACGCTATGCTGATCATCACGTCGCTCAGAAAGGTTGCCGCACCTGCAACCGCGTCGAATGAGTCAAAGAAGCTCGCCTTAAACATGATGTGGCTCATCTGGCTTTGGGAGCAGAGGAGAGTGGAAGGCAAGGGTGATGCCCTAGTACGCTCTCAATCACAGTCGCCAAACTCAAAGAAGAGGAAGCTCGACGGTGACCAGCCCATGTCGTCACCTCCTTCTGTGAAGCAGCAACTCGCGCCCAACGATTATCAGATCCCTCCAGTTGGACGTCTCAAGATGATCCGCTATCTGATTGAGTTCATCGCCCAGTTGAACGAACGGTATCAGGTCCCATCTGCCAAGTTCAAAGACTCGCCCACGCTGGCCGGTTTCGCCTCGCCTAGTGCATCATCAACTGAGCTCTGCAAGAAGTCCATGTCACTTCTCTATCATCTGCTGCAACCTCAATACTGGAGTGACCTCGACATTGACCTCTTTCCTCATGTCACTGATGCCGTCCTCGCTAGTGACAGAACGCAAACTGTTCTTACGGCGGATCCGAGCGATAAGGAGAAGTTTGATAACAAGTTCATCACCAACATCATCAACACTCTGCAAGTCGTCCGGATCATTCTCAATGTTAAATCAGACGACTGGGTCCAAAAGAACATGTCCTCTATACAGAAGGTTCTTGACAAGTGCTTGAGGAGCGAGAATCCGGAAATCCAGGACTGTCTCCACGCTGCGGATCCTGAGAACGATGACAATCGGGAGCTCAAGGCTATCGTCAAGCGCGTTCTGGAGGCTGTTCCCGAAGATGTCCCTATGGAAGATGCCGATGCCGACGGTGAGACAGAGGCGCAAACTTCAGAAATCATCCAAGCTCTCTCCACAACAGCTGGAGAAGCTATGGCAGCAGGCAACTACACTTCTGGAGTCAACACCTTGTGGTCACTTGGCAACCGTAAGCCAACAATCATTGACCAGCACATTCCCGTCCTCATGAAGGCCCTTCAGAGTAAGCTTGCACGTGAACATGTTCAGCACTACAGCATCGTCGCGAATCTGCAAGCCGGCGGAGCACCTCCTAATAGGGGCCCGGATGCGCCACCGTCTGGCGAAATGTCAACATATGACCTCGAGGTCTCAACAGCTCTCATGCTCAAGGCTATGCAGGTTGTCGCTCTCAGGATGGAGGTCCTCGGTGACAACCGTCGCCCGTTCCTCAGTGTCCTGGCCACACTAGTTGAAAAGTCTATGCACATTCCCTTGTGCGAAGAGATTCTCGTCATGGTGGAGGGATGGGTTTTCCGATCCGAAGGCACGTGGCCGACTCTGAAGGAAAAGACTGCCGTTCTCCACAAGATGCTCTCTTTCGAGCACCGACAAGATCCCGCCATGCTCACAAAGTTCCTTGAGCTCGTGATTAGGATCTACGAGGATCCGAAAATCACCAGAACCGAGTTGACTGTGAGGATGGAGCATGCTTTTCTCATTGGCGCCAGAGCGCAGGATGTTGAGATGCGAAATCGCTTCATGGCCATCTTTGACAAGAGTCTTTCTAAGACGGCAACTGCCCGCCTGTCGTACGTACTCACGGCTCAGAACTGGGACACTCTTGCAGATAGCTTCTGGCTTGCCCAGGCCTCGCAGCTTCTTCTGGGTGCTGTGGAGCTGAATGCCGCTGCTCAACTGCACGCCGAAGACTTTAGGACACTGCCGGCCAGCCAGTTGTGCATGATTTACGCCAAGGATACCAGAGAGCCGGCAAACATGGCGGACGACAAATTCGACAACCTCATCGCACAACATCGTCGCTTCATGAACGAAATCGCGGATGTCAAGGTCCGCGACCTCGTCGAGCCCCTCAGCCAGCTCCAGCACATCGACAACACGTTGGCCCATCAGCTTTGGGTGTCGGTTTTCCCAATTTACTGGTCTGCGACGGCCAGAGATGAGCGCATTGAGCTTGAGCGTGGAATCGTGACACTCCTGACGAAGGATTATCACAGCCGTCAAATCGACAAGCGGCCCAACGTCGTCCAGTCGCTGCTGGAGGGCGCTGCGAAGGCGTGGCCCAGCTGCAAGATACCGCCACACGTGCTCAAATACGAAGCCAAGACGTACGATACGTGGTACACGTCGCTCGTGCAGCTTGAGAATGCAGCAATCAAGCCGGAAATGGAGTCTGCCAAGGTTCGCGAGAGCAATCTCGATGCTCTTGTCGATCTTTATGCGTCATTGCAGGAAGACGACCTCTTCTATGGAACCTGGAGACGCCGCTGCCAATTTGTTGAGACAAACGCTGCCCTCTCTTATGAGCAGAACGGCATGTGGGATAAGGCTCAAAAGATGTATGAAGCTGCACAGATCAAGGCTCGAACTGGCGTCATCCCTTTCTCGCAGGGAGAGTACATGCTGTGGGAGGATCATTGGGTCCTCTGCGCCCAGAAACTCCAGCAATGGGACATCTTGCAAGACTTTGCCAAACATGAAAACTTCCAAGACCTGCTCCTAGAGTGTGCCTGGCGCAACACGGAGATGTGGCAGGACGGCAACCAACGAGATGCATTGGACACTCTGATCAAGGGCGTTATGGACGCCCCTACGCCTCGCAGGGCGTTCTTCCAGTCATTCATGGCCCTTCTCAAGTTCCACAACAAGTTGGAGACGCACGCCGAGTTCGCCAAATCTTGCGACGAAGCGATCCAGCTGTCCATCCGCAAGTGGCACCAGCTTCCTCAGCAGCTCACAAAAGCACACATTCCGCTGCTACAGAACTTCCAGCAGCTGGTCGAATTGCACGACGCTCAAGTCATCTGCCAGAGCCTGTCGAGCACCAACCAGTCGAACCTTGACGTCAAGTCCGGTGAGCTTAAGTTACTGCTTGGTGCGTGGCGAGACCGCCTGCCCAATGTATGGGACGATATCACAGCTTGGCAGGACCTTGTCACATGGCGCCAGCACATTTTCGGGCTCATCAACCAGACCTACTTGCAACTCCTACCACAACAGGGTGGCAACCAGAACACTAACGGTGCTTCGTTCGCATACCGCGGCTACCACGAGACGGCGTGGATCATCAACCGTTTCGCCCATGTCTCTCGCAAACACAACCTGCCCGATGTGTGTATCAGCCAGCTGAGCAGGATCTACACACTGCCCAATATCGAGATTCAAGAGGCGTTCCTCAAGCTTCGCGAGCAAGCCAAGTGTCACTTTGAGAATCCCGACGAGCTGACGAGTGGATTGGATGTCATCAACAATACCAACCTCAACTACTTCAATCCGCCCCAGAAGGCCGAGTTCTACACGCTCAAGGGCATGTTCCTGGAGAAGCTCAGCCAAAAAGAGGAGGCTGACAGCGCTTACGGTACCGCCTTGTACTTCGATATCACCGCGGCCAAGGCGTGGGCTGAGTGGGGCTACTTCAACGAACGAAGGTTCAAAGCGGACGCCAACGATGTCAATTCGGCTCGTCAGGCTCTGACAAGCTACCTGCAAGCTGCAGGAAGCTACAAGAACGCCAAATCGAGAAAGCTCCTTGCGCGGATCCTGTGGCTCCTCAGCCTCGATGATGCCACGGGGACCATTGCTGCTGGTTTCGACGACTTTAAGGGAGAAACACCGATCTGGTACTGGATCACGTACATTCCCCAGCTGCTCACAGGTCTCGCCTACAAGGAGGGACCCCGCGTCCACCAGATCCTCACCAAGATCGCCAAGTCGTACCCTCAAGCGCTTTACTTCCAGCTCCGCACCAACCGGGAGGACATGGCGGTCATCAAGAAGAACCAAGAAGCCAAGGAACGGGCCCGCCAGCGCGCCCAGTCGGCTGCGAATCAGCAGGCAGCGCCTCTCCCTCAGCTGCGAGAAATGAGACCGTCTCGGGTGCTGCGTCAAGCTCGAGACCGGGCACGCCAACGGCGACAGCGCTCTCGTTAAGACCGAGGGCGGTGCCCCCAAATCATCGTCGGTGGCACCGGCACCTGCAGACGGCGGCACGCCCGCACCGGCAGCAACCCCAGTGCCCGCTCCCACCCCTACGCCTGCACCGGCTTCTGCGCCGGTACCGGCGCAAGCGGCTCAAGCTCAGAGTGACCAGCAGCAACAGCAGTCCGGGGCCGGCCAGAAGAAGCCGCCCTGGGAGCTGACCGAGGAGATTATGAGCCACTTGAAGTCTGCTTTCCCACTGTTGGCTCTGTCAATGGAGACCATGGTGGATCAGATCCAGAAGCACTTCAAGTGTCCTCCGGATGAGGACGCGTATCGACTGATCGTGGCGCTGCTGAACGACGCTCTGGCCTATGTGAGCCGTATGCCTTCATCATTTGCCAAGATTAAGCTTCCGTCGGCGACTGAGACGAACATAACGCGGTTTGCCGAGACAATTCTGCCTCCGCATATCAAGAAGTCGTTTGAGGCCGACTTTGTGCAGACCAAGCCGACGATGGACGACTACATTTACAAGCTCCGAAGATGGCGCAACAAGTTTGAGGAAAAGCTCGACCGCCGATCAACGCGTGTGTCTCTTGAGGCCTTCTCGCCGCATCTCAGTGAGTTCCGGTACCAGCGATTCGACGACGTTGAGATCCCCGGCCAGTATCTGGAGCACAAGGACAAGAACCAGGATTTCATCCGCATCGAGCGATTCCTGCCAAACGTTGAGCTCGTGCGGTCCATCAGCGCCTCATACCGGCGGCTCAAGATCCGCGGCCACGATGCGAGCGTGCACTCGTGGGCGGTGCAGCACCCGGCGGCGCGTCACTGCCGACGCGAGGAGCGCATCCTGCAGCTCTTCCGGCAGCTTAACCAGACGCTCAACCGGCGCAAGGAGAGCCGGCGCCGTGACATGCAGTTCACGCTGCCGCTGATGGTACCGCTGGCACCACACATTCGCATCGTGCAGGAAGACACATCGTACATCACGCTGCAAGGGGTGTACGAGGACCACTGCCGGCGCAACTCGATGAAGAAGGACGACCCAGTGCTGTTCACGATGGAGAAGTTGCGGGGTGTCCTGGACACAAAGAACGCGGTATGTATCCGCGGCGATGGGCATCCAACGGACGCACGTACTGACCAAGCACAGAAACACGGAGAGCAGACGGCGACGGCGCGTCTCGAGGTGTTCAACGCGATCCAGGAGAAGTGGGTGCCGCACACGGTGGCGCTCGAGTACTTCCAGAAGATCTTCCCGAGCTTTACGGACTTTTGGCTGTTCCGTCGGCAGCTATCCTACCAGATGGCGGCGCTGACGTTCATGACGTACATTCTGTACATGCACAACCGGTACCCGCAGAAGATCAACATTGCGCGGGCGTCGGGCAACATTTGGGGCTCGGAGCTCATGTCGTACATGAGCGCGGGCAAGCCCTTCTTCCACAACCCGGAGCCGGTGCCGTTCCGTCTGACGCCGAACCTGCAGACGCTCATGGGCCCGCTCGCGATGGAGGGCATCTTCAGCTGCTCGCTCATGGCGATCGCGCGGTGCCTGCTCGAGGGGGAGCACGAGCTGGAGAACGCGCTGACGCTGTTTGTGCGGGACGAGATGATCTTCTGGTTCACGAGCTCGCACCGGGCCGTGCAGATGACGGAGCACCAGCTGCGCGAGTCGGTACAGGTCAACAGCGACTCGATCGTCAAGCGGGCGACGAGCCTCGCGCAGAGCCCGGCGAGCAACCTGCCGGCCAACCAGACGGTCATCGACCTCATCGCCAAGGCGGTCAACCCGATGAATCTTGCGCAGTGCGACGCCCTGTGGATGCCGTATCTGTAAGGGGCTGTCGTGGGGTGGATGAGATTTGGGGAGAGCAAGTGGGACACATGGCAGAGAGAGAGAGAGAGAGAGAGAGAGAAGCGTGAGCGAGAGCGTGAGCGAGAGCGAGAAAGCGAGGACATTCTTTGTTTGTCTGTACAGCATGGCGTTGGGGATCGATGGATGGGAGGGAATGAATGGGGTAGTCGGCTGGGATGGGTCGGAACGAGGAGCTGCGCTGATTTTGTCATGGTCGTCGTTTTTGCCACGTTGTATGATCAGTTATGATTGTCGTCACAAGGGCACGAATAGTGTCTGTTCCTTTTTATTAATTCGGTAATATTTATCATCCTGGGCATTGTCCCTTGCAGTGTGCTGGTTTCGTGATCAACATCACATCATACATCAATGCCTCGCCGTGTTCGGACGTGATACGGGACAAGTCTAGGTACAGTGCAAGCAGCCGCATCGCTGTGGAGCGAGACACTGTAGAATCCACTCGAGCTGGATCCAACATCTCGCGTCGACAACCTCATTGTCAAACTCATACCGGGCCACTCACTTGTCGCTTGTCGCTTGTTCTCAGGCTCAGCAACACTTGGGCCGACGCTTCACTTTGCTTGGCTGCCTCTTCAGTGCTGCACAGACAAGTGCGCCATGCCGTCAGACGAGCTCAGCGATGAGATTGAGGCTCTCAATTCCATATATGGCGATGGCACCCTGTCGCCGTCAACATCATCAGATGCGGTAGATGTGTACGTGCTCGTGCTGCCGGCCGAGGACACAGATGCCGGCGCAGACTCTTCCCGACCTCGCCGCCCGCGCCGCGCTACGCCTGTACATCCCGCCGTCGTATCCGTCCTCGGAACCCCCATCGGTGCTGGCCACCCACTCAGCCGGCGCCCACGCAAGCCCGGCGCCGCAGCCCACGCGCTGACGCTCTTTTCGCGGCCGCTTCTCGCAGAAGACGTACCACGCCAGGCGAGGTAATGCCTCTCCTTGACGGCCATTGAAGACTTCTCCCAGCGGCATGCAGGCGTTCGCCCCGGAACGCGCGCCCCGGCATCGCACACGCGTCACCTTTCCGCTCACGCGCTACGTCGCCAGGCGCAGCAGGGGCATCAGCAACGGGTGCAGACACGCAGACGCCGCCGCCGTGGACGCTCTCGGACCCGCTGACGGAGCTCAAGTCGACGTTTCTCGCGCGGGCGGCAGCCGTGACGTCGCCGGCGCAGGCCAACGCGTACGTGGCGCACCTGCTGGCGACAGACAAGAAGGCGCGGGCGGCGACGCACAACATTACGGCTTGGCGAGTGCGGGGGCCCCGGGGCGCGAGCTTCCAGGACTGCGACGACGACGGCGAGAGCGCGGCTGGCGGCAGGGTACTGAAGCTGCTGCAGATGATGGACGTCTGGGACGTCATGGTTGTCGTGACGCGGTGGTATGGCGGGCAGAAGCTGGGGCCGAGGAGGTTAAGCGTGATAAACATGGTCCAGAGGCAAGCGGTCCTCAGGCTCGTTTGGTGAAGGCTACCCGGTGGTGGACGGGGGGAGGCAAAGGGAGGGAAAGAAAGTAGCGGCCAGGGCATCGGGGTTGTAGAAGAGATGAATTTGGCCGTGGCGCAGAGCCATGATGATGGACATGTCAAAAGACAGCACGATAGTGTGTGGAAGTGGAAGAATTGCTGCCTTTGGGTGTTCGTCGCTTTCGATATTTCATGAATCAGCCTTGTATTTTTATGGAAGCTGCCAGTGGCCACTGCCTACCGCCTGCCTCGATGTCCTTGGTGCTGCCTGCCCCAATCGTTTCTTGATACCGCCTGCCCGATGTCCTTGATGCCGCCTGCTCCAATCGTTTCTTGATGCCGCCTACCCGATGTCCTTGATGCCGCCTGCCCCGGTTTCCTCGATGCCGCCTGCCTCGATGTCCTTGATGCCACCTGCCTCACATCAAGCTCATGCTCCCTTGTCCCTGCTCGTTTCCCTTCGTGATGCATCATGACCGTCGCCGTTTCTTTGGGCTCCAGTAGCCCTGGTATATATCTCAACAGCCCTCCCAACGCCCAGCTACATCCAAATTCAAGCACTGTCTACAGCAGTAGCTCCCAAAATCTGGCCGCCTCGCCCTGCTCTGGTCAGGCGCCAGCACCACCGTTTCCCGCAAACCGCCGTCCGACACGACAGCCCATGGCCCGCAACCCAATTGACAGGGATACTGCACGAAGCCGGGCCCGCCACGCCGCACACAGATGCCCCGTCGCCTCGAGCGGCAGCCCCGGCGAGGTCGAGCGAGACGGCCCACGAGCTCCTTCGTCGGCCGAGCCCACGAGCGTGTCCCCAAACAGCGGCACGAGCGCCCGATCGAGCAGCAGACTCGGCGGGTCGTCGACGGCGAGCGTCAGGCTGAAGAAGCGGGGGCGCGCCACGAGCGCCGACACGACGGACGCATAGAGCCGCGCGTCGGACGTGTCGAGCCAGGTGGGCGGTGGCGCGCGCCGCGACGATGTCGACGACGTCGTCTGGCGCGAACCCAGGCCCGGCCGCGAGAAGGACGTCGGCGAGCCGTGGCTCGGCAGCGGTGTCTCGCGCGCCGAGAGCTGGACGAGGCGCAGCGTCGGGTCGACCGAGGGCACGACGTTGCGTGTCTTGAGCTGGGCGAACGTCCTGTCGAAGAGGGTCGCGAGCGTGGCGGCGTCGGCAGAGGCCGGCGACTCGGGCGTCGCCGTCGAGCTAGCGGCGAGACCAGAGCCCGAGCCCCCCGGTCGCGAGGCCACGAAGCGGTTGCCGTGGTCGGCGGGGCACTGGAAGCCGCGGGCCGTCAGGGCGGCGAGGACGGTGGCGCGGTCCTTGGCGGGCACGAGGATGAAGTCGCTGTAGTAGGTGGAGATGAAGAAGATGGGGATGCCGGCGAGGGCGAGGGGCGCCGTGAGATCGAGGATGCGGGCGACAATGTCCGTGTCGGCGCCTCCGCCGCCGCCGCTAATGACGGAGAGGACGAGATAGGTGTCGGGCGACAGGAAGGCGGGCTTGCGCACGTGCGACGGCAGCGTTTCGAGGATACGGTCAATGGCGGGCCGGAACACGGTGCGCGCCCAGTCGGCGTGGCAGACGACCGAGGCCTCGAGGGGCGTCACGCTGACGTTGAGAAAGTTGTGCTGGTGGTCTTCTGTGAGGCCGGGCAGGCTGTGCTGTGGCCAGGGCGGCGTCTCGCGCGCATCGTCAGGGCTGATGGTCTGCGACTGAGGGAGGAGGGCCTGGAGGACGGGGTGCAGAAAGTGGGCGTAGAGCATGGGCGGGAAGTGGATGAGGGAGTACTCCCCGGGCTGTCATTGCTGTTAGGAGGAGAGGAGCTCATGCCTGGCGTCGGCAGGGGGCCAGACTTACGAGGATGGTGATTAGGACATTGGGAGCCACCATGTCGCTCTTCGCATCCTCGAGGGCGGATGTATCACGCCCTTCTCCGAATGTGAGGCAAGGGGTCAAGAGGTCCTTATGCGTCGAACCGTGGTGGAGGTCAATGTAGTGTGTTGACTAAGGCGTTTGAGTCTGAACTTGGTCCTCGAGACGTGAGAGTTGTTGCCCTTGGGAGGAGTCAATGGTGATGGATCGCGAAGTGACTGTCAAGGCCCCCAGAGACCAGATTGAAATAAAAATAAAATAGCCCGGGCCGGTCTGTGCTGGACCAGTCGCCCAGCCGACTGGGCAGTCCGCCGGCGATGCAATACGATGCGAAGCGGTGGCCCACGACGTGGTGTAAGTGAGGGCCGACAGCGGGCCGGGCGAGAGCGGAAGAAAGAGGGAGAGAGAGAGAGTGAGTGAGAGATAAGGCTGGCGGTGATGAGTTAAGACTGACACGTCACGGAGATGATAAAGTCGCCGGCCGTACTACTGTCTATACGAGAAGGAAGTTTTTTTTTTTCCTTTTGGAAGTTTGCCTTTCATTGGTATATTCAAAGGCTTCTTCTCCCTTTTTGTCTTTTTGGCGAGTGTGTACGAATTGGGTCCCAAAGTTTAAACGTCACGATGCGTGTGAACGAGACAACGACATTGATGGAAAGCAGACGTCAAAGGAGCGCGATGAAACCCTTACATACAGCCCCCCCCCCCTTCCTTCTTCACCCTTAGGTGGCCTGCGGCCGCAAGACGGGGCCCCTTATCTGCATTCTGCATGGCATCTGGGGGGGAAGCTAGCGACAATGGGGTCTAGCATGTCGGGTGGTGCTTCGATTGCTTCATGCAGGTTCACCGGGCGGTGGTGTCTCTCTGCTGGCCCTCTTCGGGAGGTTTGGCATCGCTTGAAGGGGCCAATGGTCAGTGGGTTGGTCGAAAGCAGAGACGTACGATGACATGTCTTGTCATGTTCTGCTTTGAGCCAGGGCGCGCCAGCAAGTTGGCCTCTTTGGGTGAGCTGCAGCCTTGTTTCGTACCACTCTGCGTCGACGAGACGGCATCATCCATTGATCGGTCCAACGGAGGCAGGTGATGGCCAGCTGAAAATTATGACACGGCCTTGTTGGCAGATGATGTGAGTGCGTGTTGTTCCCCCACGCTGCAACTCTCGATCTGCAACCCTTGGCCCTCAATCCACAACCCTCAACCCTCGATTGCTCTCGCGACCTGATGCGCCGGGCTCGGCACACGCAGACAAGCTGGGACGAGGTTTCCCTCTCTACTGCACACGAGTCATGGATACACTTCGAACTTGGCAGACTCGGGGACTTGGACCCGGACTCGTACAGGGAGGAGACCACGGCAGACTAGGCGAGAATGGACAAACACCAAACACGAAGTAGCATCCTTGAACCCCCGAAAGACAATAGCATCACTTGTGCCTATAATTAAAATTGAAAAACGAACACCAACGGCTGAACCCCGCATTGTGCCCTTGTATGCTCCCCAACCCCCTGCTCGAGGTTACACGTGCCGTAGGTGGCTCTCCCAGCTTCTGTTCGAAGCTCAGCTGTGGCGTCTTTCTATGCCTGTGTTTTCCCCCTTATGCCGGCCCATGGTCTTGTTCCCAAATGTGACAGGGGTCTACCATAACCATCATCGTCGTCATCGTCATCATCGTCAACATGCTGGTTCTGCCGTTTGCTTCTACCCCTCCCCCCCCCCCCCCCGGTCTATCTTCGGCATCAAAAAACATGTCCCGGCTGCCTTTGAACCCAAAGCCTGGTCCACGCAAAGCTCCCAACGCCCGCTTCGGTGCCGGCTCTCACCTGT